GCTTTGCCCTGGAGCAAGGCTCTCCTCACTGACCCTCCCTGGCGCTGGCTTGAGGACAGGCCCTGTCCGAGGCTCCTGGGCTGCCGTCTGCCTTTAGAGGAGCCTCGGGGTGCTTGGACATAGGGAGCTGCGGAGAATCTCACTGCCCTCTCCCTCCATGAACTGACATGTCCCCTGCCGGGAAGAGAATGGAAATTGAGACCCGAAGTCCTCTGTGGGAAATAAGCAATAATTTACTCATTTTTCTCATTAAAGTGAGTTTTGGGTTTTGAAAACCTGAGATTTTAGCAACAGGGTTGGAGCCTTCAGTCAACTGAAAGAAGAGAGTAGGCACCACACATGCTGGTGCCTGCCTGTAATCCCAGCAGTCTGGGAGGCTGATGCAGGAGCAACACAAGTTCAAACTCAGCCTGGGCAACTTAGTGACTTAGCCAGCTGCTGTGTTAACGTAAAACATTAACATTAAAATAGGTCTGGAGATGTTACTCAGTGCCAAGGCCCTGTGTATGGTCTCCAGTACCACAAAAATAATAAAATTTAAAAGATGAGATTAGGTATCATTTACTGAACATCTATAGGCACTGGGCACTCCAGAAGTATTTTCTGCAGGATAACAATTAGCAAGGCAGGAGTGGTTTTTCCATGTTATAGATGAAGACACTCAAGCCTCCAAAGGCTCTCTGATGGCCAGAGTTTGTAAATAAATGATAGCCACGACTCAGCCCCCAAAGGCTGACTCTCCTGGCTGTCACAGCAGGGAGGGCTGCAGTGGACTCTGCAGACTTCATCCCCTACCCATTCTGGTCACTGACAGCAAGGAGGTGCAGCCTTCTCTGCCATGCACCCCCAGAGAGAGAGTGCCCCGATTCTCCTGGCCCTTCTGTGTGCCTGAGGAGCTATAGACTTGAAACTCAACTCAGGGTCTGCTTTCTGTCCTTTTTTGGTACTGAAGATTGAACCCAGGGCTTTCACACTAAGTTAATCCCCAGCACGTTTTTTATTTTGAGACAGGGTCTCACTAAGTCAGTAAGTTGCCCAGGTTGAGACACTAAGTTGCTCAAACTTGGAATCCTCCTGCCTCAGCTTTCTAGCTGTCCAGTTCCATTCCTTCCTGTTCCCCTTGGGCCTTGTCCTCAGGTCAGGGAGACACAGAGTGGCCACATACCCCTTTGCCAGCAACGTCCCTGCCTCGTCTTCACTCTGTCATGGCATCCTTCCAGTATAGCCTGGGCTTCTCATCATACCCGGTCTGTCCACATCACCCACGTGGAAGTGTGGCCAGGCTGCCATCCTGCCACCCCCACGCGCAGCTCAGCTCCAAGGCAAGCACAACCCTGGTGCAGCCTTGGAGCTACAGTCCCCACTTCAGACATGACAATGGTGGCCTTTTCAGGATGAGGGACAGTCATAGCCCCTGTGTGCATCAGGGAGACCAGGGAGACGGTGCTGCTTTCTGTAATTTCTGTTAGCCATGGTCATCCGGTCTCAATTTTTTTTTAAGTATTGGGGATTTTTCACAAGGCCTTGTGCCTGCTAGACAAGTGCCCTACCATTGAGCTGTACTCAGCCCCCAGCTTGAAAATGTTACAAGGAAGATTTCAGAAATAAATAGTTGATGAATTCTCAGATAATTTTTATCTAGAGAATATTGCTGTCATTGTTCCACTTCAGTATGAGTTGTCATTAGCCTCTTACTGTGCCTGTTTTATACACTGAGCTTTTTCACAGTGTTGTACATAGGGGAAAAAGTATCTACATGGTTGGGCACCACCTATGAATTTACCTGCTGCAGGTCTTAGAACACACCCCACTGAGGGGGGGAGCTTTGACCATGAAAGCCAGGGGTCCATGCCAGCAGGGGCAAATTGATGGATTTCCCTCAGTTGTAGGGTCCTCCCTGGAATGTGCCAGGAGTCTCACCATCCACAGCTTCTCAGGCCACTGGAACCCAGGCAACTTCAGCACACACACAGCTCACTGCGAGGTCCCCCTCAGCCTCAAGGCTGCAGTAACTCACAACCTGCTTAGCAGCTTCCATGCTCCCTGGGCCTCAGTTTCCCCACAGGCTGCACTGTGTCACATATCCTAGTGTGTGTGTTTTCTCCCTCCACTCAGGCCAGCCCGGTGAAAGAAGGCTTCAGACCGGGTGCCAGGTGTATGTGAGTCACAGAATCCCGGGTTCCAAATTGTGTGTAGATGAACACAGATGTGTTTGTGTGTATGTGTGTGGTTATTTTTTATTTTTTACTTCATTGCACTTAAGTCATATTTTCCTATCCTCTGATCCAAGCTCTAAAAGCATTTTGTGGTATAAAATCCCCCATCATTTAATCCCCTCTACCGAAATAAACCAGCTCCCCTGCCGTCATCTTCCCTGAAAAGTGTCCCTGCATCATGCTCTGAGGCTGGCAGGGAGAGGCCTTGCCCGCTTCAAAACACTTCATCATAATCCCTGCAGCAAGGCCCGTCCTCTTTACTCTCTGGAGGGCTACTTCGGGTTCTTGGGCTGTTATTACTGGAATGCCAGCTGCTCCACTTACAACCCATCCATACAGACCTGCTCTGTCTGTCTTGGACCTTGCAAGCCTCTGCTTAGCTCATCTTATGGAAATATCATTTAAAAAATAAATGCCGGTTCCATCTGCTCTTCCCTCCTGCCTCTGCTGTGTCTCCGGCCCTCCCACCCCTTGGCACTGATTGATCTATGACAGCACTGCCATCTCCCAGAGTCCTGCAATAGTAGTTTGTCTATGGCTGGTCATTCACCCACCATGCCTCTGGGACTGCCCCACTGTTTGCTGGCTTCTTCTGAGTTGTATGAATGTTTAAAAGTCCCTTAATTGTGTGACATGTGGGAAAGAGTGGGAGCTGTGGAGCCAGACATACCTGGCTCAGCCATGCTCCCTCTGCAGACTTGGACAAGCATGGGTGTATCAGTGAAGAAGCAGCTCCCCCACGGGGCCACAAAGCTCCTCCTGTATATGGAGGTATAGATGGAATTGGTACTTAGGAAGTTGATACTCCAGGGAAAAGACATTTCAGGTGTTCTTGCAAGCAGTTTATGGACTTACTTTGCCTCCCATTGTTCATGTTTTGATTCTTGCAGGTCAGAAGAAAGTTTACAAACTGGGCATTGTAGAGCATGCCTGTAATCCCAGCACTCTGGGAGACTGAGGCAGGAGAATTGCAAGTTCGAGTTCCTCAACTTATAATGGAGTTACTTCCCTGTAAACTTCCCATTGTAAGTTGACAGTCTTACAAGTCAACAATACGTTTAATACAACAAACCCATCCATCACAGTAGCTTAGCCCCACATACCTTAAACATGCTGAGAATACTTGTATTAACTTACAGTTGGGTGAAGTCATGTTATGCAAAGTGTTTTATAATGAAGTATTGGAATATTTTGCAGAATATTTTGCCCTGAAAGCGAAAAACAGACTGGTTGTAAGGCCTCATTTTCACACTCCAGTAAATGTTGCAAGCAAACCACCTTAAGCCCAGGAGCACACACAGTTGACTTAGGTGAGGGATTTCATCCTAAGAATCTGCAGGAGAGTGTCATCTTAGGAGCCCCAGTCTAGCCAATTGCTGTGGCCTTAGATGCATGATTCAGGGTCTCTGTCCCCTCTTTCCCCTTAGCTGTGCAGTGGGTATAAGAGCACTATTGATATCCTAGATTGATCTGGGGACTCATCAAGTAGTGGGCCTGAAGAGTATCAAACCAGGCCTGGCACCGAGACGGTGCTTCCTCTGGAAATATTGGCTGTTCTGCTGTAATTATTTTAATGTGACAGAAAATTTTAAAGTACAGACTTACTGCCCATTTTCAACAGCCCCTTCTACAGCTGTTCTCAACAGAGGTGATTTTGAGCTCAGGGGACATGCAGCAATGCTGAGAGACATTTTGGTTGTCCCAACAAGAGGGAGAATGTGGTACCGGCATCTCAAAAGCAGAGGCCAAGGGCACTGCTAAACATCCTCCGAGACACAGGACACAGCCCCTTCAACTGAGGAATTGTTTGCTCCCAAATGTCAAGAGTGCTGTTAGAAACCCTGCCTCAGGCACTCCTGAGGATGTCACTCAGTGCTGGAGTACTGCCTAGTATGCCAAGGCCCTGGGTTTCATCCCTAGCGCTGCAAAACACAAAACAAAATAAAACAAAACACCATAAGCCAGAAACTTTGTTCTAACGTAAGTTTTCTGATAGCTGCAGAGTGCTTCTGGTGCTTACAGTTATTAGCATGACTATTAGCATGCTAGCCATCCCACTGATGCAGTGCAAGTCCCTGACAGTGGAATTTTGGTTTACAGCCATACCACCCTGAATGCACCCGGTCTCATCTGATCTCGGAAGCTAAGCAGGATCAGGCCTGGTTAGTACTTGGAAGGGAGAGTACGGTTTTGTCTCTAGCCTCAGTTTCTCCAGGCCAGTGCTGCCTATTCAGCCTACTGCTGATCTCAGGCACAGGCAACCGTGGGCCTGGATCTAGCAGACCTGCCTTCAAGTCCTAGGATTGTCACTTCCTGGCTGTGTATGACCATGGGCCAGTGGCATTACCTTTCACACTCCCCATTCTTACAGTTTGAACATGGGATCATATACAGCCAATAAAGCTAGAGTAGATGTTAAGACCGTGTGCTCCAAGGTCAAGGTATACCTGGATTTAAGTCATAGCTCTGCCTCTTATTTAATGCACTTTGGGAAGTGGTGGCTAACCCTCAGTTTCCTCACTGTGAAGTTGGTCTAATAAACTCTCTCCTCACTTAGAGGATCCATATGGAAATTAAGAGCTGCAGGTGGTGATTACTACTCTAATTATTCATCAGCCAGCAGGTGGTTTTCTTTAAGCCCTGAGTGTGTTTGGACAGTGGCAGTCATGACAGGGGCGGCATGCCTGCACGAGCAGTGCCCATCCTCTTCTGGTATATAGGGCTCTGCCCAGTGCTTCCTCCAGTTCTAGCCTCTGACACACACTCTCTTCTGCCCTCTTGCAGATCTGTGCCATCATTGGCGGGACCTTCACTGTTGCTGGCATTCTGGACTCATGCATCTTCACAGCCTCTGAGGCCTGGAAAAAGATCCAGCTAGGCAAGATGCATTGATGTCCTGCCTGGTCCAGTGGCCAAGAACCAGCAAGACCACCAGCTCTGCCTCCAGCACCCTGTCTGTCTCTGGCCCAGGATCTGGCTGCATCCCAAAGTGTGTTGGGAGGTGGGGGGGAAAGGAGGGGGTGGCTCAAGGTTTCCAAGCTACCTCTCTTCCCCATGTTTAATTTTAGATAAATAACACTGGCTAGAGTGGTGATATTCCTTTCCCTCGGGGTCTCCAAGACAAGAGTCAGGCAAGGGGTCTGCTCTAGGAATGTTGGGGACCATTCCTGGAAGGGCTACAGTCCCTTCCTTCTTAGGAGCAGCACAGAATCCTTGGTCAGCTGTCAGCCAGCTTTGACAATCCTGCAGGGTTTCTCCTACCCCACTGGGCCACACTGATCACTTGGGTTCTCCTCTGGGCAGCAGTCTGGGCTGTCTACTCTGGGACCAGACTGCTCAAAGGTACTCCTACCTGGAGCCTTCCATGTGGCTGGTACTTCCCAGACCAGCTCCTGAGAACTGATATCGTAGCTGGAACTCTCACTTCCACGAGGTCCCTCCCTGGCCAGGCTCATGTTTCTTAACCTTATCCAATCTGGTTTTTCCAAGAAGCAGTGCCCAATTGGTTGGGTGGTCTACTCATTGGTGACAAGGTGGGTCGCAGAGTCCTCTCCTCTCTTGTCCTTGTTCCTCTGAATCTCACCACCACCACCAATGTGCCTCAGCTGCTGTGCTGTAGCACTGATATTTTGTGGTGGAAAGGAAGGCTTTGTTAGGACCTGCTGAGGCAGGGAATGGAAGGCATATGACTGGGGAGTCATCCTTGGAGAAGCAGATGGATATGGTTTGTGCACTTGTGTACACAAGGAAAGTGTCCTTCCCTATAACCCACCAATAATGTCTCGGCCTCTTCTGGGCAGCCACCATTGGTTCCAACACCTCAGCTGGGGGAACAAAGTGGACCAGCACTTACTCTCCCTTTGGGCCTCCTGCTCCAGGGGTCCCCTTACAGGGATGCCCAGCACTTGGACTGCTGCAGCCCCGTGTGGCCCAGGTGCCATTGATCCCTGGGGTGGTGGACTCCATTGTCTCCCCACTTGCTGCTGAGGGGGGTTCCTACCCTGCTGTTCCCTCTCATTCTTCCCTTTGTGTCCCGAAAGGGAAGGACAGTGGCCCAGGCAAGAATTCCTGCCAGGGAATTTTAGCTATGCTCTCATGTCCCAGGAAGAGAGCCCTACCCTTGTTTTTCATTTATATAAAGATTGTTTGCATACTTTTGTAATGAGGGGGAGTTTCCAGTAGAAGGATTTTTTAAATTATCTATATGGGATAGCTCAAGTCTCTGCCATTTGTAAATCTTGGCTCTGGTTCCAATAAGCAAAGCTGTCCCTTTTGCATATCAGTTGACTAATGTGTGTATAAACTGTTGTTGATTATTTCTGGTATCTGTGGCCACTTGGACTTTTTTTTTTTTTTTCATTCTGTTCCCTAGTTACAGAAAGAAGTCCGTTTGGTATGTGACTGTGTGCACCTGTAGAGGGTGACAGGGAGGGGTGGGGGTGGAAAATGTGTGGCATGCACATGAGTTGAAATTCCACTTTTAATGCATTTAAAAAAAAAAAAAAGCTCTTTGAGGGCATCGGGGATGTCAGTTTCCTATGGAAGAGACACCTCTGACCTGTTATTCTTACAAACAAAATCTCCAGGGGAAAAACTGTTTTAGTCCTTTCTCCATGCATCAGGTTTAAATAGATTAGTAAAATGCTGATTTTCAGAAGTAATGCTGTGTGATTCTTTTTGTCTTGGCTGTGGATGGGCAGGTGGGAGGCTAGAATCAGAGTCAGAGTGGAAGTTAATTCTAGAAGACAGAATTGGAAATGTTGAAAAATAGATAGATTGCAATCCAAGAGAATCATGTAGGCTTTCTACAATCATGTCTGCACCTTTGACCTTTGAGAAATTCCAGTCTTTGTCATGGTCACATCATGTCTGTTGAGGGCTAGGGAAGGCTTTAGAGAAGGAGCTTATTGTGAACAAGTTTGACCACTGGCACCCCCAATTTCATATACTGATAAACAAGGAATCATGATACCATTGTAGTCCAAGGGGGAGGCAGCTCTGCAGTGCTGAACACAGAGACTTCAGATACTTACAAGTTGTGTTTAAGTATTATCAGAAACAAACAACTCATCTCCTATTTATGCTTTAAGTACCAGTGTTGTACCCCAAAAACGAGCCCCCAGAATGGTGTCCAAAAAATGAGGCAAGACGTCTTTTTTTAAAGGAAAAGGAGCACTTTTTATTTATCCTGGCACCAGCGACACAGTGCAGTTGGAGTTTGCAAAGCTGTGTAACTCGCTTAAAATTTTGACAGACTTATAGAAAGGATGAGTACAAAGTAAGTGATTCATGGGTGTGGATCAGGAATGAGGAAATCCTTTGTTTCCCTTTGTTTAAAGACAGAGAAGATTCCCAGGAATTTACAGTTCTTTGTCAGCTAATTTCAGCACTTAATTTTAGATAACATCTGTCCTTTGCAGAGGGGAACAATGGTTAACATATCAATCAAGTCACCCAGGAAGATGGCTCATATAGAAGAGTATGACTGCACTCCAGTTATTTTATAATAATGTGGTCAGTGCCTCAGGGTGTCCAGCTGTAGAAAATAGTTGTGTTTGCAAAGGGCATTAACAAGTAATTTGGTCATATAACTTGGGCATTGGCAAACATGACAAAGCTCTTTTTTGCTATTGTACAGCACCAGATCCTCCTGGTGCTGGCAATGGAATCCAGGGCCTTGAGCACAGTCGGCAAGCACTCTACCACTGAGCTACATCCTTAGCCCACTGGCTCAAATATTTGCAATTATGTTGCGTGTTGGGCATTGCAGTGCAAAACAATAAAACAGGACAGGAGGTGGCAGGGGATGAGGGTGGGGGGAGTGAGGTTGGTTCTGGAAATAATCAGAAAGTCAAAATATCTTAAGGAAGCTGTTCCTTTTTTGAATCCCTGCAGAATGTTCCTGGGTCTGCCACTTCCTGGCTGTGTAGTCTCAGTCTGGGCCCTTAACCTCTCAGGGCCTCGGTTTCCCTTGAGTAGAAATGGGGATAGTAAAACAACTACATCATAAGATTGCTGTGATCTACCACTGAATCAATAAAAGTGATTTTAATTATACAATTAATACATGCTCATAGACCGCTGGAGGAAAATCAGAGACTACTATAACATTAAAAGGAAAGAAAAATTAAGGTCACCCATAACCAGTAAAGAGAGGTAGTCATTAACATTTTAAGGACACCTTTCTATAAACAAAATAGTTTACAGAACTACTCTTCATATTATTTTGTAATTTCCTTTTTTCTGTGATTAATAAACATCTTCCTGGGTCAATAAACATGAAACTTCCCCACCCCTTCCCTCTGGTAAGGATGTAACCCAGGGTCTTGAACATGCTAGGCAGGCCCTGTACCACTGAACCACATCCCCAGACAGGAATCTCATTATCTTTCTTGGCTTCAAGATAACAAATGCATGCCTGCAATCCCTGCACTCAGGAGGCTGAGGCAGGAGGATCCTCCAGTTTGAAGCTACCCTGAACTACATAATAAAACCCTATCTCAAAAAACAAAATAATAAATAGTAGCTACAGTTGCTCCCACTCAGATCCTTAGAAAGTTTTCTCACTTTCCATAGAAGTGATTCACCGCACTTTTTTTCACAGTGCTTCTTAACAGATAAAATGAGGTAATATTTGTAAAACAGCACCAAGACTGACAGTAAATTCACAGCCTCTTAAGATTAGCCATCCTTACTCCACATTCACCAGTCAACAAATAATTTCTCCCATTTATTAGGCTTTTACTGTGTGGCAGTCATTATGTTAAGGATTTATTTAATCTTGACGCCAGGGGATTTAGCTCAATGGCAAAGTGCCTGCCTGGCAAGTGCAAGGTGGTGAGTTAAGTCCCCAGTACAAAAAAAAAAAAAAAAATCCTGACACTAAACTGATGAGGTATTATCATTATTCCCATTTCTTAGATGAGGAAAGTTTGCAACCACAAGATTACCGATCTTACCCAAAGCCAGGAAGTGGTGGAGATCCAAAGCCCCAGCAGTTCTGATGCCAAGTCTCCCATAATTCCCCACCCCTGCCTCTGGGATATAAAAGTATGTAGTGGGCATTTGCTTTACACCAGTGTCTGTGCACAGAGGGCATTAGGGATGCACAAGATGCGTGGACAGAGGAGCAGTAACCGAGTGAGCGAACTTGGGAAGAGATGAGTCCGTGAGGGCTGCTCTGGGAAGTATGCCCTGTGCACCTGGCCTTGCTCCCAAGCTGCGGATTGAAAGTGACTCCTGATTTAGCGGGTCTGAAAACCTAAAATAAGACCATCCGAGATGCCTGCTTGAAGAGGAGTACTGGAAAATACGTGTGTTTAGCAATTTTACTACTACCATAAGGTGACACTGAAAAGCTTGAAGGGTGTCCAGGATCAGCCTGAACAAAGCTGCTCTACTTTGGATGAGACATCTTTCTGAATTTTGGAGTCCCCATGTGTGAAAGGATCACTACAGACTCATGTCTAGCATCTGACACAAAGTAGGAGCTCGACAGAAGCGAAGTGAATGGCAGAGCGGGAAGGCTAGAACCAATGAAGGCTTTGAATCTCCTATAGAGCGAGTCCTTGGGTCCCTAATTTGAAAACAAAATCTCTGAGCCTCGGTAGGGGGCGTCTCGGACACTGGGTGGGTCTGAGGGGCAGTGGGGTGGAGCATGCCTTCCCGCAGTCTTCCAGCTGGCACGGAGCTGGGCTACTGGGATGGCCCGGGCGTGGCGAGCTAAGGACGCGGGATGGGCGTGGCGAGGCTAAGGACGCGGGATGGGCGGGGCATGGCAATGTGGGTGGGACCTGACGAGAGGGGCGGGGCGACAGCCACAGTCAAAGAAAAGGAATTTGTCCTCTTCCAAAGCCGTCCCAGTTAAAAAAAAAAGATAGGTAGAGATGAGAAAAAGAAAATGAATGAAGCTACTGAAGCGGCAGCCTGGTCGGCCCAGAGATGCACACTTTATGAGAACCAACGGGAAAAAGCCCGAGCTGCTGGAAACCGATTCCCTATAAAATCACGGCCTAGCAGGTGCAAAACAAAAATCTCTAAACTGGGTGTGGTGGCATACACCTGTCATCCCAGTACACTGTGAGGCAGAGGCAGAAGGACTGCAAGTTCGACCCCAGCCTGGGCAACTTAGTGATTTAGATAGACGCTGGATCTCCCTGTGTAGCCAGTTTGGCCCCAAGCTCCAGAGAGCCTCCTCAGCCTCCTGAGTGCTGGAATTGCAGGCCTGCACCACCACACCCAGCTAGACACCTGTTTCAAAATATGAAATAAGAGGCCGGAGATGTATGTCGCTCAGTACAAAGGCCCTGGGTTCAATGCCTAATATTGGGAGGGGAAAAACCAAAAAGACCTCTGGACTGTGTTTCTTTTAATTGAATGCAAGTGTTGTGTCTTCCCTCTAAAAAGTACTTAAATCAGAAAAATAAAAGTTAGAGGTAGCGCACCTTGCATTCCAGCCAGAGTGGCACATTGCCTGTGTTTATATTAAATACAGAAAGCTAATGCTTGCACCATCAGGATTAATAAAAACAGCCTCTCATAAAGGTGAGACCCGGCCTTACAACTGTCCTGGAGCAAGCCCCACACACAAACATCTGGTTTTATTAGGAAAAATCTGGCAGGAATTCAGTGCTATGTACCAGGCTCTGCTGTAGGCACTCTAAATGGATTAACTCATTTAATCTCCATAACAATCCTATGAAGTACCTACTAAAATCATCCCTGTTTTACAGATCAGAAAATTAAAAACTGAAACGCGAAGCCCGTCTCCTAAGATCTAATAAGATTAGAAAACGAACTGCAGCCCTAACTGTTTTGAACATAGCGAAACATCTTGGCAAGGGGAGACTTTTGCAAAGCCAGGTGTTTGGTTCACAATGATCCTTATGGAGGTGTAGCTCTTTACATTTGTACATCTCAAAAACCTTAGGAAGTGAGATGGTTCTGGCTTTTCTTTTGTTTTATTTTGTTTTGTTTGATCTTTTCGAGACAGAGTTTCACTGTGCAGTTCAGGCTGGACTTAAATTCTCTGGTCTCAGACTCACAGTAATCCTCCTGCCTCAGCCTCCCAAGTGCTGAAATTATGAGCATGTATCATCCCTGGCTAAATTTAAACTCAGATTACTTGGTTGTATCTCAGTGGTGCAGTGCATGCTTAATATACTTAAGTCTTTCACCAGTTCAGTCTCCAGCACCAAAAAATTGAATGAATAAATAAGTAAAAGTAAAATTTGACACTTACCTACCATTGTGTAGTTTGTAGAATTGTGACAGGGTCCAAAAATTCACATTTTGAACAGGCTTCTTGGTGATTTTTTTTAAATTGGGAATTGAACTCAGGACCTTGCAGTTGCCAGGCAGGCATTGTGCTGAGCTATATCTTCAACCCTTCTTGGTGACTTTAAAGAATCAAATCGACAGATGGTGTTCAGAAAGAACATTGAGGGCTCGGGGTGTAGCTCAATGGCACAAGCACCTGCTTGGCAAGCACAAGGTCCCGAGTTTGATCTCTGGTACAAAAAAGAAGAAGAAGGAACATTGGTCAGTCCTCGGTTTGGACAGGTTGTACATACAGATTCAGAGATGGAAAATATGCAGGGAACAAATGCGTGTGTACTGACTTATTATTCTTGTCCTTATTCCCTAAGCAATACAATATAACAACTTTTTACATGGCATTTACATTGTATTGAACGTTATTTATCTAAGTCACCTAGACATAATAAAGTAAATGGGAAGATGTTCGTAGGTCAGTGCAAATACTATGACGTTTTATGTAAGGAACTTGAATATCTGTGGATGCTGGTATCTGTAAGGAGGTTCTGGAACCAATATTGAGTACAACTGTACAGTAAATATCCAAATGACTTTCCTTTGTGGAAAGCAAAAGAAGCAAAGAAAGAGTTTTGTATAGGTAAGAGACTGCTGGCAAGGCGCCTACTAAATGAGCATCAAACCGAGTTGGTGGTGCACACCTATAACGCCAACACTTGAAGGCTGAGAAAGAATTTGTAGGTCCACAGCTGTTAGGCTCCCTAGGAGGTTGGAGCGAGGCACTTGTGATCCCACCCCAAACCGCAGAGGGCGCCATTCTGCTTTTCTCCAGCAGGAATGGGGCTCTAGTATCTTTCTGCGCTTGCGCCGCAAGGAAACGTCACTTCCGCCACTACGCGCGCCCTGCCTAAACCAGGTGGCTCCTGGTAGGTGAGTGAAGCTGCTACATGGAGCCCTTTTACCTTTGTGTCATGGGGGACACGCACCACCGCAGGTTTCTCGGCGCGCCTCCCGACGAAGCCCACACACTCTTCTGTCAATGAGCGTCAAGGCCCAGCGCTGTTCTCTTCCCTCCGCTCCCCCTTCGACCTCTTAGGTCAGGCACGCCATCACCCTCGCCAGTCTGGCTTTGTGTAGCGCCCAGACCACTCGCAAACTCATGTTCTCCCTAAGTCGTCCTCGGAGGTCTCATCTCCCCTAAGACCACTTGCGGATGGGAGAAGCGCCTGGGATGAAGAAGAGGCCTCTGCAGCCAACCAGCGCCCCGTCCCCTCGCCGCTCTTTGCAGACTGTAACCATGAAGTTCAACTCATTTGTGACCTTGGACCGCAGCAAAAACCGCAAAAGCCACTTCAGTGCCCCCTCGCACGTGCGGTGCAAGAGCATGCCTTCCCCTTTCCAGAGAGCTGCGGCAGAACTATAACGTCCACTCCATGCCCATCCGCAAGGACGATGAGGTCCAGGTATATTCCCTTCCTTCTCTGGTTCTAGTTACCCTTGTTGTGTGGCGTTTGGCCACTTGCGTGGAAACATCCTGTGTGCTAGGTCCTGAAGGAGTCAGGGACCCTCAGGCCCTGAAGACTAGCAAGTCATTTAACTGAATGAGCGTCCTGAACCTGAGATAGAGCCCAGAGCCCCTAGAGAATGCCCACAGATCTTTAGGAATAGTAAATAAGTCAGTCTAAGGGAGAGTAAAGGCTACCATGAGAATAATGTTGCATTTAGTGAGTTTAGTGGATAGGACCTTGTGGGAGCTCGTCAATTTGGCAGGAAAAATGGAGAAGCAGCAGCAAGTTAGAACTCCTGTATGAACCCCTGTAGCCCAGGTGTGAAAGTATAAGCCTTGTGTTCTCTGTGACTGCAGCTCAGGATTTTAACTAACGGGCTAGATTCACTCGTTGAAGAAATATCGAGCACTTAGCAGGCATCAGTCTGGATATTCACAGAGAGCAAGTTTGACAAAGCCCCTGTTCATGTGGAGCTCACAGGTTAAAGCAGGGATTCTCAGCCTCATTACTGCTGACATTTTGACTCTGATAATTATGGGGGACACTGCCCTGTACATTGTAGACTGCTTAGCAGCATCTCTGCCTTCTCCCCACCAGATGCCAGCAGTAATTCTACTTTTGCCACTTTGACAAACAAAAATATTTCCGGACACAGCCAAATGCTTCCTTGGGGGACAGAATTGATTTTCTCCTCCCCAGGTGAGGAGCATTGTTTTTAGGGAATGAAAGGCGATAATGTGAAGGGATTCACTGTATCTTCCAAGACACTGGGTTCTTTGAAGGTTGATACGCTGAAGTGGAAAGTGTGGTTCAGATGTGTGATCAGTGTTGCAGTCTGTTATCTCCTGGATCCTTCCTGTTAGGCATATTCTAGAATGAGAGAATTGCAGGTGCTTATAGGGCATATGCCTGTAATCTCAGCACACAGCACTGAGACAAGAGTATCACTGTGAGTTCAAGACCAGCTTGAACTACATAGCAACATCCTGACTCAAGAAAAAGGAAAAAAAGAAATTGAGTGTTACAATGCTTCGACTAGGAATTCAGGTCTCTGATATACAAGGCCATTCTTCTCTCAGGAAAACTAAAATAGCCCTGAGTTTGTTAAACTACCCTTTCTGGTAGGTAATAGTGGTGTCTGCTTATAATCCCAGTACTCAGGAGGCCAACACAAGAGGATCACAAATTGAGGCTGGCCTGGACAATTAAGTCTCAAAAATAAAAATGTTCTGGGATAACTAAGTGATAGATTGCTTGCCAAGGCCCTGGGTTCAGACCTTGTACCACAAAACAAAATAGCAATAAAAAGTTGCCTCATCTCTGTTGAGATCACCTTTTTTAGTTTTCTCTTGGTGGGTAAATGGTCTTGGTTTTTTGCATTGTTTTGTTTTGGTCTTTTTGAGACAGGCTATGTAATTCACTATGTAATTCAGGCTGGCCTTGAACTCACTTTGAGGCCTAGGCTGAACTCGAACTTGGAGCAATTCTGCCTCCATCTCCTGAGTGCTGGGATTACAAGGATGTACCACCACACCCAGCTTCATTTTGTTTTTAAAACAACGTCTCCCTGCATTGCCTACGGTGTCCTCAAACACCTAAACTCAAGTAATCTTCCTGCCTCCTCAATAGCAAGTACTGTGGTCGCACTCCTCCACACACAGCTGCTTCTTGCTATCTTCTGAATTTTTTTTACCTCTTTAAGTAGTTAGAAGTTCACCCTACTTAACACAGAAAACTGCAACTGTCAGCCTGGAACCTCCTGATTCCACAGGCACTAACATACCTGTCATCTGACCTCATTGTCTCTGTCCTCATGTTACAATTAAAGGGGTCTCTCTGTTTCTGGTTACATACAGTGATTTTCTAATGTCTAACTAGACCTTGCATACCTGTAAAAAGTCCTAATATTAGACATCCAATGCTGGATTAGGTTTGCTCATATATTGCCCTATTTTCTCATTGCTGAGACAAATGCCCAATACCTAACGTTAAAAGAGGAAAGATTTATTTTGGCTTTCAGTGTGTAAAGATTTCAGTCCATAATCAGCTGACTCTAAGGCAGAGTGTCAGTAGCAGAGGCACATCACAGAAGAAACAGTTTATGGTGGGCAGAATGCTGCAAAGCATTAGTGAAAAAGCTGCAAGCAATCACAACAGCCTTCTTTCTGTGCCCTATAGTCTATCCAGGCTTCACATCCTTAGGGTGGTGGCACTCACTTCCAGGGTGGGCCTTCCCATTATTTACACTTAGAATTATACCAAACCAATCACTGATTTAATAACCACAAACCCTTTATTCCAGCATCATACACTATAGATCCAGCCACTTCTGAAAAGCTCTACCTGTGACACGAGACTTTGGGAGGACATCTAGACACAAGGAATAACACTGACCCTAATCCATCTACCACTGTGTGCTTTGATCCTGCACAGTCCCCTTCTCTTGGAGATCTTTCTGTTTATTATCCCTGTTCTCTATAGTTTCTTTTACCCTATTCCTCTGTACTTGTTCCTTCCATTAGCACTTAAACACATTTATGTTTACCCATCCTAAAAAAAATGTCCCTTCCCACCTCCTAGAACATCTGTCCCCTTGTCTTCAGAGCCAGGCTACTTGGCTCTGTCTTCTCTCTTCACCTTGCAGGGATGCTCATTGCTTTGCACACCAGTCCATCCACTGGAAGGGATCTAGGCACCTTGCCACATCTTTCGAATATTTGATATTCTCTTGGCTACTATAACACATATGGCTATGGGTTCCTTTTCTTTTTGGCCTCTCTCGTGTCTCTCTTTCATGTCTCTCTTTCCTGTGTGTGTGGGATGGGGAGTTGTTTTATTTTTGTTTTGCATTTTAAAATTTTATTGGTACATTTTAGACATACATAATGATAACATTCATCATAGTGGATTTGTACTTGTGATATTTCTTGGGGCTTTGTTTTTTCCCATTCCCCTCCCCTTCTAGTCTCCTTTAAGCTCTTCCAAAATGTTGACATGGATCATCTTTTTGTTTTCTGCCTTCTCATATCACAAGCCCTCTGAGTACAATAAAGTTTTAAATTGCATGTCTTTAAATGGCTCCCATGTCTTGCCCACATGCCTTCCAGGGGTTTATTAATTCTCCTACAGTCTCACCAGATGCCTCAAATTCGACATGATACAAACTAAATGACCTTCCCCTTAAGTCTGACTCCCCTTCTGTGTTCCATAGCAGTGGAAGAGGCACAGCCAGCCAAGTGTATCCTGACAGCCTCGGTTACATAGACCTGTGTGGATTTTTCAGTGAGATATGGCTGTCTGCTTTTCAACCTGAAAATCACCTTGGAGAATAACAATCTAGATAGGCAATTTGGAAATATTCAGCTCACTAGATCTTTTTATATTGTATTTCTTCTGTTCATTAATCAGTGTTACTTGTATTGTATGTGCTGTTGAACAAGCCTTCAGGAAAACCATAATCTTGTTTTTTGTTTTGTGTGTGTATGTTGTTATTTTTGCAGTATTGAAGATTGAACCCAGGACCCAGTGCATAAAACACGTGCTGTACCACTGAGTTACAACTCTAGCCCAAGAACCATTATTGTGTTTTGAGACAAGGTCTCCCTAAGTTGCCCAGGCTGACCTTGAATTTGTGATCTTTCTGGCTCGGTTTCACAAGGAGCTGGGATTATAGGTATGCACCATTATTCTGTCCTAGTTTGGTTCTTAAATAGAGTAGATCTTTAGTACAGGAACACACCACATAAGATTTATTTGATTGTAGAAATCTTTTTTTTTTTAAAGCCAGTCAAATTTAGCAGTGAGGGGGTGGTATACCAACTTTAGTGACACTAATGTTAATAAGTTCTGATAACCCACTGCCATGGGACCAGCCAATTGTAGAAATTTGAAATTTACAAGAGTGTAAATTTAAAGCAGTAGTTTATACTCCTACTTCCTGCTTGATAGCTGAGATTATTATTCATCCTATTGTATTAAATCCTATATATGAATCTCAGGATATACACACACATACACATATACACACAACTGTATTCCTTTTTTTTCCTCTAAGCACATATCTGGGTCATTTCCCATCCTAATGAAATATTTATTTATTATCTTTAACTATTTTTCTAGGTTTAGATCTTGAAGGTGTTTTTTTTTTTTTTTTTTTTTTTAAATAGGATTAGTTTTGTGGTAAGCATCCTAATCCAAAGAGGTTTTTTTGTTGTGTTCTTCAGATAAAAGAAAAAAATTCAGATGAAGAATTTCTAGCCAACGTAGCGTAACATAAAACAAGTTTATAGTACCAATACAGCCGGGCTTTGACTGCCACGGCTTAATCTGTTTTTATACAAAAGATTGTATACATAGCCTTCATGAGGATAATTAGCTTTGTCATCAGAGGGTTATGCGTTAAGAGTAGGGTACTCTTCTGCACTTTCTCTTAGGTGGTTCGAGGACACTACAAAGGTCAGCAAATCAGCAAGGTGGTTCAGGTGTACAGAAGGAAGTATGTCATCTGCATCGAGCGTGAGAAGGCCAATGGCATGACTGTCCATGTGGGCATCCACCCACGCAAGGTATGGTTCCTGACTGAGTGGTGGCAGCAGCCATTTAAATGGGGTAGAGTTAGTGGCACAGGTGGCCATAAATGAGGCAGGCTTGACTGGTTTTCTGTTTTGCCATTCTGGTAACATCATCGGCAGACGACTCCAGATGCTCTTAGCATCACTGTGCCACCCACTAGTCCAGAGGGAGAAGAGGAACATCTCTCCTTGGGACCTTCACGCCCATCTGGTAGAATATGCTTGTCTTAGTTACTTTTTACTCGTTGCTGAGACAAAATACCTGAAGCCCAAAGTTGGGAAAGGAAAGGTTTATTTCTTACAGTTTTTGGAGGTTTCAGTCCACACTCAGTTGGCTCCAAGGCAGGCGGGCATGGCTGTGCCGCAGTTCATGGGGGCAGCAAACAGCAAACAGGAACAAGCAAAAAGCAAGACACACCTTCCTGCCATTACATCACATCCTGGCTCCACCCCCATGTGGGTGTAGCACTGACACCAGCAATCCAAGCACTAGACAATGAACCACTCACAAATGCACAATGCAAACTCATGAGGCCTGGGGGCCACAGACATAAACCATGACAATGCTATTCTGCTTTTACACTCTTGTTTTATGTTGTGTTATATGATCTGTCTTTTTCCTGACTTCCAGATCTCACAGATAGAATGGTCAGGGTCTTCACCTCATAATCTCTAAGTTACCCAGTAGCTGGTGGGCATGTAGATACTTTTTAAAGCACTGCATCTTTTGAATAATGAACAAAATTTCCTAACTCTGATGGCATATTATTAATCTAAACAGTTGGCTCGGTCCTCAGGAATTAGAGAGGTGGGAGGTTCACTAGTATAAAAAGGAGCCAGGCATGGTATAAGCACACTTGTAATTCAGGCACTCAAGAGTGAGGCAGAAGGATTGCTATGAGTTAAAGTCTACCCTGAACTACCTAGTGAGACTGTCTCAAATAAAATAAAATAAAATAAAATAAAATAAAATAAAATAAAATGGAACCTAAGTGGTGTTTATTGTCAGGAGAAGCTCAGCTCTTCAAGATGATAGCGCTTGGTTGGCTGGTTAAATTGGTTGGTTGGGTTTTTTAATTTTGTTTTGAGGGTTTGTTTGTTTATTTTGGGGGCAGTATCTCATTCTATAGTATAAGCTCGCCTTGAACTCAGGGTGATCCTCCTGCCTTAGCCTCTTGAGTGCTACAGTTACAGGCATGTGCCACCATACCTGACCCTTTTAATTGAGATTTTTGTTTGTTGGTTGGTTTTTGGTTTTATTGGGGGGAAGGGGGATTGGTGGTTTTTTTGAGACAGGGTTTTCCTGTGTAGTTCAGGCTGTCCTTGAAGTCGTGGCAGTGTTCTTGCTTCAGTTTCTCAAGTATTGGGATTACATGCCCAGATAGGGATGGTGGTGGCTGTTAAGTACTTTACACTTAAAGATCTCTTGGTTTTCCTAACAGGTGGTTATCAACAGGCTAAAACTGGACAAAGTCAGAAAAAAAATTCTTTTACGCAAAGCAAAATCTCCACAAGTTGGAAAAGAAAAAGGCAAATACAAGGAAGAGCTCACTGAGAAAATGCAGGAGTGAATATAACCTGTGTCGCAGCCATGGTTTACTGGAGATGTCTAGCCCAGCCTGTGCTTCTCTGGAACTTTTGAAGATGTCTCTCAAATGTGTCGTTGCCTTCCTGTTTTGTTATTGACATCTGGCTCTGTAACTATTTTTGTAGTTTTGATTAATAATTTTATGAATAAAATTGGAGCTATTTCCTAACTGCAAATGGTATTTACATCACTATGAATGAAATCAAGGGAACGGCATGGTTCTGGTTCCTAAAGCAGAAGTTTGCCCCACACAGCAGCTGTCACGACATGAGTTGACGCACTCGAAACACCATGGAGTTCCCAGTCATGACGTGAACTCAGATACTCAGGCCTCACTAAATTCCTGGTGCTGCTCTGTCCTCTTGTCTCACGGGTAACTAAAATTCTGGAGCTAACTCACAAAACGACCATTCTCTAGATGACATTTGACTCAGATGGGTTTTGTATACATACACACACACACAGCTTTTACTAATTTCCACCACTAAAGATGTGAGAGACAGCACAGAGAGCCAGCTGGCTGCACAGGGCCGGCTCCTGCATTGCACCAGGCAGTGGGGCTGAGGAGTCGGCTCCTTCACCTGTTCCCTTAACCTGCCTGGCCCCCGTTGGCATCTGAGATTTAGACTCTAAATCTAACTTCATTCTTGATTTAGCTTCAGGATCACATCTAAAATCTTCCCTGCCCCTGTGAAAAATGATTGGATAAAATGCGTCCAACAGCATTTTTTCTTTGCTGGGGATAGCACTCAGGACTCCTCCCGTGCTAGGCAAGTGCTTTACCCCTGAACTACACCCCAGCTCACTTTTGTGACCCTTGATAAGCTAGAAGTGTATATCTTTAAGGTTGGGAAACTAGTAGCAGTCTACCAAGCCTGCCTGATTTTATGAGTTACTTGGGTGCTATATTAGTTCCCATCCTCTTGCCTATAGATTATACATTCAATGGGTCTGAAGAGAAATAATGTCCATGTGCGTCTCATGCAGGTTGTTTTTCATTTGTTTGTTTTATTTATTTTTTGCGCTGGAGTTGAACCCAGGGCACTCAGACTGAGCTCCATCTCCACCTCTTTTTTTAAATTTTGAGACATGGTCTCACGAAGTCTATGAATTGCCCAGGCTGGACTTGAGTTCATGACCCTCCATCCTCAGCCCCTGGGCATGCTGCAGTTATAAACTGTGCCACCACACTCAACCAACTGTTACTTTTAGAACCATATAAATTTGGAAAACTATCGAAGTATATGTAAAATGTATACATTTTATAAAATAGATGGTAGCTTGCCACATGACAACTGTGTAATCCACCTGAACTTCATGTCTAATGATTTATACTAGGCTAGCCAGTAAATCCCGTAGTTCACATTTTCTAATTTCAGTGTTGTCTTTATCTTGCTTTGGTTTTTAGGGTTTTTTGTTTGTTTTGAGGCAAGGTCTCTGTAATTCAGCTTGGCTTTGAACTCAGTATGCAGCCGAGGCTGGCATTAAACTCAGCAATCCTGCCTCAGCCGGGATTATAGATGTGTACCATTATGCCCAGCTAGTTTTGTCTTTATTCTTAACATGATTTAGGACTCCAAAAATTGCATAAAAATCAGATTTCATACAAGATTAAATTTAATGGCTTTTCACTGTATAAATCTGATACCTGGTCTGAGCCCTAGGCTCCATTACTCTCATCAGAAAATTGAAATTACAGTATCACCTAGGAATTAGACTTGACTTATTTTCAGCAACTTATTCCAATATAGGTGATAGATAAGAATTTTGAAGGTTGTAATCAACCCCACTTTGGCATTGCAATCAGCACACGGCTGATGGTTAGCCAGTAAAGGACAGTGCAAGAGTAGGAACTCAAGCTGGGGTGGTAGCTCAGTGGCAGGAGCCCTAGGTTTGTTCCCCACCATGGCAAAAAGCAGGGAACTCGGCATGAAAACAAATTTTAATCCTAGTTTTGTCAGTTCTGGAATGTGTGATTTGAGAAAATCGTTAATGACAAAAGGGAGGTAAAACTAGTACCTACCTCAGAGTTGCCAAGATCATTACTGAGATACTATGTGCTGGGCATGGTGAAGCACAGATGTAATCCTGGTATTCCTGGAGGCTGAGGCAGGAGGATTGCAAGTCCAAGCTAAGACTAGACAGCTTAGTGACTGGACAAGAACCTGTCTGGAAAAATGAAAGAGAATGGGGATATAGTACAGTGTGAGGTCCTGGATTCAATCCCCACCCCATAAAAAATATTGTGTATAAACAATTTTACCCATCACCTTTTAGAAGAAATTACTGATGGACTTGTTCACAGGAGCAGAAGTAAGTTTTTCTCATGAAAACTTGGACAGTTATGGCTCTTGAATGCAGAGGAAGCTTTAAGACCAGCATTGATGTGTTAGAGCTGCTCCCGGGAAGGGGAAGGAGACTGAAAAATGCTGGCTGGGTGGGCCTGCCTATCAAGTTTCATGCCCTGGAATATGGTCTTGTTTCCTGAAATGAATATATGAACCATGGAGTTAGGTGTTCCATTATTATTATTTTCTGTTTGTACCGAGAATTAAACTCATAACTATGCACTTGCCAGGCAGGCACGTGTGCTACTGAGCTAAATCCCCAGCCCTTCCTGGAATGAAAAAGTGAATGAATGAATGAATGAATAAATGAATGAATGAATGAATGAATGAAAAACTGTTTTCTACCGACCTTTTCATCAGTTTTGCAGATGCCTATGTCCTTGAGTCAGTCTCTCTGTGCTATTTTGGGGAACTCCAAACTTGTAAACTGCAGAAATCTGCTTCTGAGTGTCTGCTTTCCTGTCATACTCAGACATGAGCTGTTCAGCCACACAGCTTTTGATGTGAGTAGGCAAGTAATTAAATCTTCCAGAAACCAGACAGCATTACCTACCACGTCTGCCATCTTAAGCTGATGCTACAAACATTATTTCCTAACGTGATGTCTTTGGTCCTTGTTCATTAGTATTTAATTTTTTTTTAAATCAGTAGTACCAGGCATGGCTCAGTTATAGAGCACTTGCCAGTGTGCATTGGCCTCTGGGCTCCATTCCTATCACCTGAAACAAAAGAAAATAAAATCCACAAATGATGTTTATAAGTGGTACAAAATAGTCACTTTGAGCCTCAGTCACTCAGTTCCCTCCAAAGGAAATCACAAACCCATTTTTGTTTGTTTGTTTTGTTAAGAGCAGAATATATTTATTGAGAGAGAAAGCTTTTGTCTGAGAGAGAGAGAGAGAGAGAGAGAGAGAGAGAGAGAGAGAGAGAGAGAGAGAGAGACAGAAGGGGTCCCGAGTGGGTTGCCAAAGAGTCTGTCTCTCTTAGGGATTTTTATAAAGGAACATCACATGTGAGGCGGGTCCAAAGTTGGGAAAAATGGGAACTCATAAGGCAGGCAGGCTCCATTTTTTTTTCTTTTTTGTATCCTAGAAAAAGTGTATGCCTATACAATTGGATTTTTTTTTAAAGTTCGTTTGTTTGTATTTTTTGAGACAGGATCTCTCTATGCAGGCAGGTCAGGCTGGCCTTGAGCTCACTTTGTAGCCAGGCTGTTCTCAAACTCACAAGGATCCTCCTGCCTCAGCCTCCCAAGTGCTGGGATCATGCCTGGCTTCATTCTTTAAAAAGTTTGAACCATGAAGAAGTCTTCATGTGAAAAGTAGGTCACCCATATCTAATTAAATAGCTATAGAAAGTTGATTTATTGTCTAAGCACCACAGTAACTCATAATCATGTGTAAATGGGAAATCAAATATTCTTTGTTGATCGGAAACAAATCACAAGCCAGCTTATCTCTAGCAGCAGGGTATTTCATTCTAGATTTTTTGTTTATGGTAGCAGCAAGCATACTGTCACTGAGCTATAGTCCCATCCCCAAGCTTCCAAAGTCACACGTAGATGTAATAATGTCTGTATTGATGCTGTTGGGAGCAGTCAATGAAACAGATAATTCAAAGCACCTAGTCCAACGTCTGGCAGTAGCAGGCACTCAAGAAAGGGTTTGTGCTGTACATATTTGGCCCTCTGTAGTACATATTTCATGCATATATGCTGGGCCAGTGAGTAATGAATTCTGCTTGAATTTCAGCTGCTCTAGAAACTTTGACACTTGGTTAACTTCAAAAGGAGTTTATAACTCTTTAGCTTTGTAACCCACGGGCCTGGAGCTTTAAAAACTGTTTGTAAAATATTTACTTATCACCTATTTTTATTTATAAGATTTGGCTTAGGAAACAGGTGCTTCAACCAATTGCCCAATAGTGTTTGAACACTTCTTGTGTACTTTATGCTGCTGGGATTGCTTCTGAGGCTTTTCCTCTAGCAGCGCACTTCTCAAAATTTTTGGTCCTAAGATCCACTTGCACACTTAAAAATTATTAGCTGGGTATGGTGGTGCACACCTGTGATCCTAGCACTTGGGAGGCTGAGGCAAGAGGATCATAGTTCAAGGCCAGTAAGTTGGGGCTACATAAGCGAGTTCAAGGCCAACCTGCATTGCATAGTGTGACTCTGTCTCAAAACAAAATTATTGAGGACTCAAGTAGCTTACATTTATGTGAGATACATGTCAATATTTGCTATATTAGACATTAAAACAAAGTTTTGAAATATTTATTTTAAATTTATTTAAAAATAGCAATAGGGTTAGGGGAACAGTTCGGAGGTTGAGTATATGTTAAACATGTTCTGGACCCTGGGTTCCATCCCCAGTACAAAACAACAAAACAAATAAATAATAAATCCAGTGTACTTTAATTAAAAATTTTATGGAAAATTACTCTTTTTCCAAAACAAACAAAAGCAGTGGGAAGATTGACACTGAACTATAGTTCTGCAAAATTCTTCACTATCAGGCTCAACAGAAGACCATGGATTCCCACAATTCTTTAGCATTATCTGTTGCATATATCTATATCTATCTATCTATCTATCTATCTAGTCTTTGTTTTTTGAGACAGGGTCTTGCCATGTAGTCAGCTGGCCTTGAACTCACTATGTAGCCCATGCTGGCCTTAATTTAAACTGATAGTGATCCTCCTGCCTCAGCCTCCTGTATGATGACATTACAGGCATGCACCACCATGCCGAGCTTGCAATATGTTGTTGCAGATAAAGAATGGAAAGAAAATTTACTCTCAGATTCATCGGTAGAAAAGCGATCTTA